TCTGCTGATCGAACAACCCCACTTTCCTCCTTTCCTTTGCCTTTTCAATTACAGCACAAATGTGTCCTAACCAGGATAGAATGAGCACATATATCACACAGTGCATTGCGTCTGTAATGTTTATATAAGATTTCTGACACAGAGTCAATGTTCACAAATGTCCAGACTATTACAAGTAATATTGTAGAAGAGAAATCTGGTTATAAAAAAGAAGAGTCTTAATTCAAAGGAACCCTGTCATGAGAGAAACATAAATGCTGCAATTGCAGACTGCTTGCTTGCCAGATCATGCTTGCTTCTATACTCCGAATCACTAACCCAGAACAAGTATGCAGATAAGGACTTGGGACTTTTTCAGGCAGTGACTGGAAGCAGGCAGAGGGGCAGCATAACAGACAGGATACAAGTGATTCAGATTAAGCAGAGGGACAGCCTAAAAGACCCATACTTCTCATGACAGGTTTTCCTGAACCACAGTTATCTACAATGACTAAGGAAGAACCAAAAATAAAAAAATCTGATTTATAAAAGGACATAGAAAATTCCATGGGCACATCTTAGCCAACAACATTTTTACAGGTTCACGGTATAGCAATAGACATATAGAGTATGTGCATCTAACCTTCTGTTCAATATGGTTCTTAGTTTTGTAATTGAAGATTGGCAATAACCCATGTGCATCAGGAGGTGCCTGAGAATCCAGGGAGAAGTTTAGAGAGACAAAGATTGGAGAGAGCTTGTCCCGAAACTCTGATTCATTCTGAAAAGAAACAAATACAAAATGAACTCCAATTATATTTAGGAATACTGCGGCAGAAGATCAGAACAAGCCATACTTGAACGTTACAGATCTGGGCTCCTTCCACCCACCTTGTGTCCTTACCATAACAAACACGTAGTGCAGAACAGCAGTACACATGCTGACAGATCGGAAATGTAGCTGGTTAAAAGCATAACTGCCTGGACTGAGGCCAATTTTACAGATCTTGGATTTGCTTTTCTTCAGCATTCCTAACTTATATAATTTAAGACTTGTACAAAAATAATAGATTGTGGAAGTTCAGGAAGTGCTGACCAAGTACAGTTTCATGGATTCATTAAGAAAAACAAACTACAGAATTTATGGGACTGATTTTAGAAGCTAGGGCACTGGATGGGAGGAGTCATCAAAATTGCATAAACAGTTCAACTTTTACACACGTAGTCTTAAGGAGTGAGTGAGCAGTTCATTTTAGGACCCCACTTTTTCACAATTAAAGAGAATATCCCTTATTGAACGTGTTAGGGAGATCCAGAAAGTAGCAAACACTTGATATTTGGGAAGACCATGACTAGAAAAAAAAAACCACAACAAAACAAAACAAAAACTAATCTATTAGTACCATTTTCATGCCACATTTCTTTCTTCCTGTAGCTTACAAATAGTTACAGAAAAACAAAAGACAAAGTTTTAAACATACATGCTTGTTGTCATGGAGGGCCTGTTCACACCAAGGCCATATATTAATCGCATGGTTCCATGTGTTCAATGCAAAATACCGTGCTATGCACCTACAGTGCGATACAGTTCATTTGAATGGCACCCCAAATGCGCCTCCCACGCTGTACCACAATACTGTGCATTGAGGTGTGGCAAAAAAAATGCGTGCATGCACAATGCAGGAAATTGTGGTACTGTGCGGTGTGTTCAAGTGCATTGGTGTCAACGGCCTGGATTGTTTCTAGAAAGAAAATAAAAATAAAAAACTAGGTCAGTTAGTGTTTCCATTTCCTCCTAGACATCACCCATCTTAGGAGATCCCCAAAGAACACCGAGTGAAAATACAGGCAAAACCACAAATGTAGTGTCTAGAAAAAGGTGTGGAGACTATGAATAAAAAGACTCTAACTTGGTGCTTTTTGGAGATCTTTACTTTATGCCCCAGTTGGGAAGCAGACTGGTTCCATAAGGAGGATGAACTGGAAAGCATGTGCAGATTAGGTATGCAAAGCACCCTTCATTATATTTGAATCTCCACACACAAAGAACAAACAACCAGTGAAAAGGTGACGGGACCTTTTTAGCCCTAAGAAGAGCCAAGCAAACAAACGTATTGCTCCCCCCTCCCTTTTAGAGTGTATTTAGTTAACCTTCTTTGTAGCGATGCTGCCAATTTAGATGCAAACAAGGAGGTCTCCTTTAAGAAAAGTCAGATTAATTACCTTAAGGTAGATCTTCATCTCACTGCATTGCTCCTGGCCTCCATTGCGTAAAAGTATATTCTGAGTAAGGTGGGGAAGGTTGGATTTTAGGAACAGTGCTCTCCTTACAGCCCCTCTCTGCTTCATAGAGTCCAGCTGCAGCTCTACATTAATCCCTAAGAGACATACACAGCTCATGGTCTTAAGCATTAGATCATACAACACATGCATTCAGACAGAGAAGAAAAAAAAAAGGTTAAAAAAACCCCACAATGTATAAAAAGGTGCATATACTCACCAATCGTATTAGGCACATGTTTTCCTGAAGCATTCAGGCAGAAACTGAGGTTTACACTGAAAAGGAAGACAAGCATAAAGAAATCCAGATGTGGAAAGTTTAAATGAAAGAATCAAATTGTTTCAGACACTAAAAGAATTCTAGAACAGCCACTAAAGCAAAATGAACACATTCTACTGCTTTACTTTATACAGACAAAAAGTCACATGCATCTAGTCGCATTTGCATGCACACATCGAGATCCCCCACTTTGTTTTGTGCCAGGTGGGTGTATGAATAATACAAGTGTATAGAAAGAGTGCAGGCTCCGGTTGGCAAAAGCTTCGAGCAGCAGCTCGCTATATACTGCGGCGTCTCAGTATACCGCGAGCTACAGCTCGCGGTATACTGAGCCTAGGGTGACGGGAGGACGCTAGTTTGTGTCCTCCCGTCACCCTAAGGAGAACTATGGGGAAAAGACTTAACCCCATAGTTCTTCAATGGCAAGAATTGTGCCTTATTTGTCCTCAAAAAACAATATACGTACCTTAGGACAAGGTTACCGAAATCAACAGGCCTGTAGCTAAAAATATTAGAGTGCTTTGGTCAATAAGGGGCAAACAACTGCTAGTACTAAAAGTGGTTAAAAAAAAAAAAAAAAAAGGTAAAAAAACTATGGAATACCCATTCCTCAGATTTTGGCAGTTTCTGGAGAGTTGCATCATTCGGTTGAGCTTTATATGTATTTATTATTAAGAGATGGGAAAGTTTGGGAAGATTAAGGTTGTACCAGGAGCAATGAGAGTTTAAAGTCAGATCCCCCCTCCCCCCACAAAAAAAATATACGTCATTGGGTGACTCCGCTCCCATCCATGAAGGAAATAGGACCTGATTCTTGAAGCTCATTGTTACTACACATTTTGTTTATTTTTAAACTAAAAAGGAAGCTATTCAAAACAAATGTGACCCATACCAAGTGACAAGTCAGCGAGATCATATGACCACTCTGCTGCTTGTGTTTCCACACAATTTATTTAGTGCATATAAAACAACTGATGGATACCAAGACATTACAAGATGATCAATTAAACACAACATCTCCCTTCAGGTAAAGGCACCGACAAACTGGAGGGGAGGTAAGAATTCAGCCAACATTTTCCAAGTTAGAACCATAAGAATCTAAACGTTTCTCCATTTTAGGCTGGTTTGACTTTAGACGCTGAACTCTAGGCAGATATAAAATACACAAATAAATGGAGCTATGTGAGCAAACGTTCTTACATTTTTTTCGCCCCACACAATCAGCTTAAAAGGAGAATTATGAGGCGAGTGAAAATCACTAAGCCTTATAGTTCTAGCCGACCTGTGACAATGAAGCTGTCACACGTCGGCTCAATAGATCGGGAAGTGAGCGAACACATACAGTCGCTCGCCCACTTCTCGATCTATCCCCGCAGGGATCCCCCCTACCCTGTCCGAACCCCCTCTAGATGGGCAGAGCCAGCTGTTACTCACGCAGCTGGGGGGATTTTGACAATCCCGGCTGCGGCATCTCAGTATACCGCAAATACTGAGCTTAGGGTGACAGGACGCTAGTTTGTGTTCTCCCGTTACCCTTAGGAGAACTATGGGGAAAAGCCCTGAGCTCATAGTTCTCCTTTAAGTACCTGAACTCCACTTAGTATTAGGCCCCTGCGGTCCCTTGTAAAGCAAAGTTCAGAGAGCAACACAAGGAGCCAATCAGGTGTGCCACAAAGCAAAAAGCATGCGGATAGGAGGAGAGCAGAGAGATGCAGTGACAACTTCATCAGTTTGCAGCTTCTCCTTTCACTGCCCAGTCAGAGAGAGAGCAGGGAAGAGACCTAAAGTGAAAGCAAAAAACTGCAACCAGGTCCCCTCCCCTGCTAGGCGGGGCTGTGCTGTGGCAGAGCTGTGTAGATCCCAAAGAATGAATAGAAAGGATGCATAGGAATAAATGCATATCCTTTAGAAGGTAAAACTGCTTCAAATGCATTATTTCATCTGTGCAATTAGCCATTTGCCTGGAGTTTAGCTTTAAAGGAAGCAAGTGGGCTGTTCTTGATTGCAAAACTGGTCCCTGGTCTATTAAGTATTCACATTTTGTCTTCAGATTAACTTCAGAGCACCCAGTCATAACCAAAAGCCAGATGTACTGTTATGTAATTAGTAACTACAACTGCCATGGCTGTGCCCTTACCTACCTAATCTTCATGTAATGAAAGCCCTAACCATAACAGAGAATATTTTCTCTGTACCTAAATGGTGACAGCAGTTTAAAATTGTGATCTCTCAATGCATTGAGGATTATTTATGGGAACATGGGTGGATCAAACCAAGTGTTTTTCTGCACAGCAGGCTAAAGTTTGTTTTCTTAGATAATAAATAAATGTAATAAAAAAAACAAAAAATCTGGCTGGCTTTCTAGGGCATCTCCACAATCCTCCAGCAAAGGTCAGTAAACACACTTCAGGTCAATCCAGTTTCTGGCCTTCTACTGACTTCAGATCATGTTTAGACATTTGTACTTAAATGTTGGGCTATGTATACAGCCCTCTAAAATGAAGTCTAAACTCTAGTTCAAGAGCAGAAACATCCACTACAATGACAAACTGCAGAGAGGTTAAGCAGCTGGTTTCTAGAGCCATTCACAATTGCGTATTCATTGAGGCATGAGGCACTGTGCCAGGCTTTACATTGCTCCCTAGCAACAGCCTACTACTGTGTTCTAAAAATATAAGTTATCAGAACATAATCAAATGAGCTCACTAAGCGGCACTTATGTTCTGATAGATACAGTAACCTTCTGACCATCAGGTTAAAAGAAGTATAACCATTGCAAAGACAAACACCAAGTCAAAGCCTATTAACCTCTATAACACTGTCACTTGAGAGTAAAAGGTTACACAATGATCAAAAACAGATATTACACTACAAAAGGACTCTGTGTGAAACAAACCACACAGTGCTCAATATTAAGAAATAAATTGTACTATGTATAAAAATTTGTAAGCTCCTCAATGCTACCACAATCAAGAACCACCCTCTAGCATACAACCACCTACTCCTTCAGTCTACCACAACCAAGAAAGAACCATCTAGCAGGAAGCCACCTACTCCTTCACTCTACCATAAGAACCATCTAGTATGCACCCATTTCTCCTCCACTCTACCGTAACCAAGACAGAACTAGCTAGCATGTAGTCACTCACTGCTCCACTCTACCATAACAAGAACCATCTAGCATGCAGCCACCTACTCCTTCACTCTACCCACAACCAAGAACCACCTAGTATGCAACCAGCTGCTCCTCCACACTACCATAATAAGAACCACCTAGTATGCAACCAGCTACTCTTCCACACTACCATAATAAGAAAGAACCACCTAGTATGCAACCAGCTACTCCTCCACTCTACCATAATAAGAAAGAACCACCTAATATGCAACCAGCTACTCCTCCACTCTACCATAATAAGAACGAACCACCTAGTATGCAACCAGCTACTCTTCCACACTACCATAATAAGAAAGAACCACCTAGTATGCAACCAGCTACTCCTCCACTCTACCATAATAAGAAGGAACCACCTAATATGCAACCAGCTACTCCTGCACACTACCATAAGAAAGAACCACCTAGTATGCAACCAGCTACTCCTCCACTCTACCATAATAAGAACCACCTAATACGCAACCAGCTACTCCTCCACTCTACCATAATAAGAAAGAACCACCTAATATGCAACCAGCTACTCCTCCACTGTACCCACAACCAAGAAAGAATCATCTAGTGTGCAGCCACCGACTGCTTCAATCCACCATAACAAGAAAGAACCGTCTAGGCTGCAGCCACTTACTCCTTCACTCTATCATAACAAGGAAGGACCATGTAGTATGCAAGCACCTACAGCTCCACTCTACCATAACAAGAAAAAGCCTGAATCCAGAGTGAAACATGCAATCAGCACTTTTCAGAAAGTAACAAGAGTTCCTTAAATGGTATCTTACAACATTTTAGAATGACAAAAAACAGCCTGAAGAGGCATAGGACAATGTACCACCCACACCACTCACAAGCACACGGAGGTCTTGCGATTGACATTTCTGCAGACAGATGCTAAATTACCACACATAGCAGTAAAAACAAAATTAGATTCCAAGTTAAAGAATAAACATGCATCAAGAGGCTAGATTCAAACAATGTTAATGTGATATGCGCATTAACCTGCATAGCAGTAAGACCATGCATTTATTTTGAATAGGTTTTCCACACACCTCAAGCTTGTTCTAAAACAGCTGCAGTATTGTTTTACTGTAGTGCACCGCAACATACAAAATGCTTCACATCTGTGAATTGCGGCGCCATTAAAAATGAAGGGCAATAGAGTGCACCATGTATTGTGCTTTTGTGTGTGCTGCAGTAACGCATGTTACCGAATTGCACATGTCAGAATGGTACTAGACTGTCTTTCAGAATACTATTTCAATACAGAGAATAACAAAATGTTAAACGGCAAAATTTTGCACTCACCACGATACTGGCATATTTTTGTTATCAACCACAGTCATGCATGTCTTCTCCTCAGGGTTTATCATAGTTGAAGAGATGGACAGAGAGGCGCTGGCATGAACAATTGGACGCCCACTGCAGAAATGAATATTAACAGAAAATGTGATTATAGTGATATTAGAGTCCAGCTTTTCCCTGAATCATTAGCGGTTCCTGAAGAATGCAGACATAAGAACTCAATAGTCATTAAATGGAATCATATATAGATACATTTCCAATTACAGGAAGATCAACTAAAGGAGGAAGCAGGTTTTTTTTTCCCCAGAAGGTCTAAGCCAGACTATTACCAATGACAACTACGTTTACTGTTCTACTTTATATGTCACCGAATACTTCTGAAATGGCAGAAAACATACTCCCAGATAGCTGCCACACTGCGTCTTATGTATCAAAGCGTCTACAGCTAATGTCACACAAATATTCGCTTTAGACGGCGATTTTGAAATAAGCTTTCTTGAAGCCCTTAAAGTAGTTGTGGTCATTTAACTTGATATAGTGGACCTAAAGTACAGCCCCTCACATCTCCAAAGGGCCACATATAATATTCAATAAATGTCATGGTGCACAAAGCTGTCAGACTGCAGACATGCTGCAGGAGATGGTCAGAGCCAAAGGGCATACTACACAGCATGGTCAAAGACCGCAGACATGCTGCAGGAGATGGTCAGAAACGGCAAACACACCGTGAGTGTTGGTAGAGACTAGAGACATGGGTCAGGAGATATAGACTGGGGACACATTACACAAGACTACGAGAGATCACTGCTATTACAGTCCTTTTTGAAATTGGCGCTTCCACATTTGTGCACCCTACAGCCCTCAGATATATCTCTGTCAGCAAGATCCAGTGTAAAAGATCACAGAAGAAAAAACACAAAAATCATTGACAAAGAAAAAAGTAAGATACTGTGAAGGAAAAAAAAAAATGTAACTGCTAAAAGCCAGCCTAAAGAATATTTTTCCTTCACTGGCTTAAGTAAGCACCAAAACCTAGAAAAGTGCCTGCAGGGATCCTGAGAGCTTCACAATCATTGTCAAAGGGCTGCAGGCTGGACACCAGGGCCTTAAAGAAATGGTCACCAACAAAAACCACAGGTAAAATTAGAGAATCTCGTGTTTTAAATTGATTACTCTCAGGAAATTTATTTTCATAAATTATTTTTATTCACATGCATTGCGACTCTGAACTTGCTAGAAAATTTGACTACTTTAGAAGAGTCTCTTCCCTAGCGCACTTCCTCCCGCATAGCATGTCATAGCCCTCTCATCTTCTGGTAGTCCAATTACTCTGTGCTGGTCCAGCTTCTCTGCCCTACATATCATTTTAGGTAGCAGTTGGAGAGGAGTGAAATACTATAGAATGCCACTTGTGACCGCTCTGTCTGCTGGGGCTGCTGACATTGCATCCAAGCTGGCATCACTAATCAGGAGTCAGAGGTTTTGGAGGTCTACACAAAGAAGGCTTTTACAGGTAAAAAAAACAAACAAAAAACATTAAAATGTGTTAAATGCACATGTAATCCTATAAAAATATTGTTGTAGAAATAATTGGCCTGGCAACAAAGGTTTGTAAATGAAAGAACCAGATGTTTTTCAAAAAATCTAACTGCTCTGTCTATATAAAATCAGCCAGATTCCAAGCATACTTACCGGTACACTAAAGCTTTGTCAACACCAAATGCACCCACAATAAGGTCTAGAAAAAAAAAAACCAAAAAAACATTTAACATGAGATAATTGGAAAGGGCATATGCAAGTAAATTAAAGTGCAAAAATTGAGGGCTTGGGTTTTATTAAAATCAGTAACTTTAGTTTTAGTGACCGATACACTGTGATAATGTAATATGGGAGCTGCCAATGCGGACTAGTTTTTCATGGTGCAAGTTCAGGGTTGTGATCATTATTCTTACTTTTATACTTGGCAAGTCAGAGACTCAGAACCACCATGTGCATGTCAGGTGTTCTTGAATCTGAAATACAGGTTAGCTCTGCATCATTGATTCAACGAATAGCTGAACTAACATGAACAGCCCCGGAGCTTGCCCCATCAGAAAAAGTGAGCAATTGAAGCTTCCGTATTTATATCCTGATAGGTTCTTTGCACATTGGGGGAACAGTACCGTTATTAGGTTGACATACCTGGATACCCATTGCCATCAAGGTCTTTTCCTCCTCTGGTGGAAAAACCGAAGAACGCAGGTTCCGGTGAACTGCCCCACATCCCTTCCAGCACCTGGGAAGGTTTAGGGTTCAGGCCAGCAGCATTGCCATTGAAGATAAAAACTGCTCCCCTGCTGTCTTTACCATCAAATGGAGCACCAATGGCGATATCTGAAAAGTAACATTCTATTTTATTGCTGGTTATAAAAAAACAAACTAAAGCTGTAAAATATTCAGCACATCTTTCACCAACACTGGATGCTCAAAAGATACTAAATTCTAGCAGAAGCAGCACTGCTTATTGCACAGAAAACTTCAGTTAGGTCCCAGAACTAAAAATTCATCAACAGCGAATTTCTGGTGCTACATATTAAGTCACAGGGGCAAACAAGACACCTTATAATAAAAGTCTAAGGCAAAGTTAAGAAACAGAATCAAAAAGAAGAGAAAACAGAATGAATGCAAATAAAGAGCAAGTGAGACAGCAAAAACAAAAAATCTAAATATATACATTTTTTTTTTACATCTTTCTTTAGTTACCATTAAATCCATCTTGATCCAAATCTCCCAAAAAAGCAATAGAACTACCAAAGCGGCCATATTCGTGCTGTCCAGTTAGGACCATGGATGGAGTACTGGACATATTGTAATCTTGCAGGTAGATATAGACACGTCCCACCTCCTGAATTCTGCCATCATGGGTTCTCTCCATAAACAGAGGAGCACCTATTATCAGGTCATCCAATCTGCACCAGATAAAAACAAACTATTAAATGCATGACTATATAATGCCAGTTACAACTTCAGTCGATATTCAGGCACCTATAAATTCTTAAGAAAAAAAAACGCATACAGATCAACTCTTTATAACCCAGTGAACTGCTATCTATCCACAACTGCTACTGCATAGTACTGGCAGAAATTAAAGTATACCTGTCTATTGAGGAATTTGGAAGATGCCAGTATTGGACTACATTTGAATACTCCATCTTGTGTTATTTATGAATCACAAATTCCCATTCTCTATGCTTGTTCCAGGTCAGTGACTCAGACAGTATCAGGTCAAACTATCAACATGACAGCCAGGCAAATGGCCTTCTCAAAAGGAGAGGTTAGCAATGCAGCCTACATATAAAACTTATGACAAATTTGTTTTGTAATCCTGAAACAGCTGCATCAGATTAGTTAGATGGTTCAGTTTCCTGTACTAATCAGTGCAAGATATGAAGCAATAGCTTGTAATGGCTTACCCATCATTGTTGAGGTCAGTGGCTGCCACAGCATAACCAAAGTATGAAGCCATCTAAAGATTAAAAAGAAAGAACATTTTTTTATTATATATCCCTTGTCTACTCATTTGTTCACATTCATCTCTAATCCCACACAAATATATAGTCATACCATCTTCACCACTAAGGCGGGTGTAATTAATGCCACATGGGTTTATGGGGTCACCGAAGCGTCAGTGACCCTGTTATAATGGTGGGGTGTGCCTCAATTTACTATTAAATTAGGATTTTATACAGCATGATAATTAGGCAAATCATTGCATTCATGTTCATTATATAGATAGGAAAATGGTGATTTGTTCTCTCATCCTATTTCTAGACAATGAAGTCAGGCCTGGATCTGAGAAAAACAGGCTCAGGCCTAGAAAGGGAAGTGTTTAGAGAGAACATTTTTAGAATGCAACAGTGTTATATTGAGAATAATCATATATATTATCTGTTTGTATTTAAGTTTGATCTGAATGTGGCTTACTCTGTACTAAATCATTTGGGATGTGAGCATTTTAAGTGCTCAGTGTAGGAAACGTAAAGCATTGGGGCATTCGGCAAGAATAAGGCAATTCTGCTCTTTGAGAGTATTTCACAGATCAGGTGCGCATTAAGTTCGGGGTAAGGTTAGAGGAAGAACTTGGTCATGTTTCAATGTTAGCGGTCAGCCCGCTAACATTAACCCAAGTGTCAGAATTTGTGTTCAACTCTGTTAAGTTTAAGTTAAGGTTAGGGACAGGATTGGGTTTTTTGAAACGTTAAAGTAATGCTAAAGTCAAAAGGTTTTTAAGTGATTTGGTGTCCAGTGTGATCTGCAAAAATAGTGCATGCAGCATTTTTGCAGATCGCACTGGACCAGAACACAGGCACTAGCGTTCAGGTGATTGGGGTGCGGGCATAGCTGCAGTGCCATTGACTTTAATGCACCACCACGCCCTCTCCCACCCCTGAACGCAGGAAGCCAGTTTGCGCTCCAGTGCGTTTGAGGCCGACCGCTCTGCAACACTCTGGTGTGAACCGGCCCTAAATCACTTAGCTGCCTCTCTTGATAAAACATTTCCTGCAGAATTAGCTGGCCCCCTGAGCAATGGCCCTGATATTCTGTTTTTGGATAGCTCCTTTCCCTTGCAGGGTCCTATGGAGCCACCTTTGTGTTAGTAAGCTGTGTGTGTTGCCACAAATTAGACAATCGGGGCAAGTCAGTCCCCTGCTTCTCCCACCTCCAAGCTAGTAGATAGACAGCTGCTGGAGACAGTGCTGACCCTTGTGATTTTGTACTGGACAGGGGGTTCAGGAAGGCAAAAACCAAGTTGGAGCCAGCTGTTTGGAAACATGATGACTAAGTGTCTGGGCAAAAATGTATAGAAATACTTTGCTGAGCAATGTCAATTTATTTGATATGGTTCATTATCGGGGGGATTGCAAGTTTTATAATACTTAAGGATTAATTCAGCCTTGGGTTACGGTAAGTTACTTTCTTTTTAAACGTTCTGAGTGGGGGAAGGCCTAGAGGCTTTGTCTGGTTTTTATTGCTTTTGGGAGATTTTCTATGCCCATGACCACTGTTGCTGGGATAGAATGAGATAAAATAGGGACATTTTTACACTCAATTCTTTGGTCTGCAGTTACACTTTAAGGTGCAGATCAACGTAAGGAGAAATGCTTGGGTCATATTAAAGGATGGATTTCATTTTCATTTATACCAGTATACCACCCCAAAAAACAAACGTTTTTTCCCAACATATTAAAATTGTTTCTTCCATGGAATAAATAATATATATAATTTTTTTTTAATGTAGACAGTTGCAGTAATACTTTATAAATCAAATAGGAAATACATTAATGTAGAAGCTGCATACTTACTTGCTCTCCTGAGAAGTTGTACAAGGATTTCAGATTGGTGCCATTTAGAATAGTTACCTTTAAAATAAAAAGGTGTTTGTTGTTACTGAACATAATTCTGAATACACAAACCAATTCTACTATAAGTCCTGTGCATTTTCTTTGGATACATTTCTATAGGCAAGCTCAAGACTTCATTCACACCCAAGCATGAGCACAGCAACAAGTGGTTCTTTTGCATTGTATTGCATTTTATGCACTACTTCGTAGTAGTAAAGAAGCAAAATTGAAGAAAATGCACGCCAACATGTTTACAAGCATTTTTCAGGTGCTCCTTTAAAGCCCATGGCGTCACAATACTTGATTCTGCTCCTGTATTTAGCAAATAGCATTTTAGCTGAGTGTTCAGATGTGAATAGGCACTATACAGTAGTAGTCAATGGGATGTAGCGTCAATCTTTGGGCTACTAAACACTCAGGTGTGAATAGGTACCAAGTCTTCACATTATACCCATCTAGCATACAAAGCATGTAAATAGCAATTTTCAAAAGCCAGCTCCATACAGTTGAATGTGTACCTAAAGCTGCCCACACACCTTACAATTATCTGCAGATTTTCTATGGTCAGATGGAAAAGGTGCAACAGATTCCTCCTTCTGCACTTAACTGTGTGGATGGAGTAATCTCCACCTGGGCCAATCTGTTGCACTTTTTCCATCTGACCACAGAAAATTTGTGTGGGCACCTTAAAGCTGAAGACATTGACTGAGTGGATTACAGAAACCATGCACCTATATTGCCCGCACATCAAATTATTGGTTTCACTCTTCAGTGATATGAACACCATTGAAGATGGCTTTGTAAAACAGTATCGCAGTTACATCTACAGTAATTCAAGCACATGATCTTTCATCACAACTGACAATCTTTCTTTGTGAATGGCTAGTTCCACTGTGTGATTTAATGATGAAAATCTCCCTAGAAATCTGTGGACAGTTAAGGGAATGAATTGTACAGTTATATCATCGAGCTGCATGACTCATAGATTTGCAGCCAGAAGAGCAGGAAAGCACAACTACTCTATTAAAAAATACCACTACAAAACAAGTAATGAGTATGTGTACAAATATATAAATCACAAAATACACATAGAAACAGGGTTTACAGTCAATAACACAGGCACTGGCATGTCTGACCCAAATCTACAAGTGTATACCCAGCTTTAGGCTTACTTTTACATTATGTTTAAGTGCATAGAAAAACAGGACCATTTAAATAGTAATTAATTCTTACATATCCAAAAGTCATATTTCCTTTTGGGACTCCGGCCACAAAATCTGCAATGGAGAGAGAAAAAAAAAAAATGGGGTTAAAAACTGGTGAACTAGAAAACATGGTACTTCATAGATGTTATTTTGGGTCTACCAATGTACAGTTATTGATTGACAAGTCAAGATTCCGACAGGCAACTAGAATTAAAAAATTAAATACTGGCTATTCGATAACTCATCGAACTATGTGCAGCAAGAAAAACTATATATTTGTTAAGCAAATCATTAACAATGTTATAGAAGCACATGGTATCCTTGATTTTATTTTTAATTATAAAGTCCTAACCACATTCAATATTTTTTTTGGTATGCAATATCTTAGCACTGTATAGCTATATGGTATTATCCCCTGTAATTGAAGCATTTACCTAAACCTACTGTACTGCTTTAATGTACAGCCTAGTATAACCCTATAAGATATCACCACTCATTTCTTTACATTTACTAATTTGCTCTCATTTAAACAGTTTTCACAGTATAGCTTGACATTTTCTTCTCCCCGTGTGGTCACTCTTCATAGAGAGTTTTCCCAAAAAATAAATACAAGCATTATATACAATTGAAAAAATGAAAACCTACAGCATAGGAAACATGCAACTCCGGATGGGCATTTTCAGGGAGCAGTAGGCTAAGTACCCTGTATATAGAATGAATTTCTTTAAAAAAAAAAACCTGCTTTCGGATCTGTGGTCAACAGTTCAGCTCATTACAAAAATGTACTATAAAAAAGAACATAACTGTGCTGGTAAGTTTCGCAAAGAGTGACTCACCCTCGGTGCCATCTCCACTGAACTCACCAACTGCAACAGAATATCCTGAGAAAAAGAACATAAAAAGCAAACAATTCAGAGGAAACAAGATAAAAGACCACTGAGACGTGCATGTCTGATACATAGTATAACAAGGACTACTACAAGTATAAAAAGCATAGCCACATCTAGAAGTGAAAACCCTGGTGGCTAAAGCTACTTACATTTTATGCATCTGCAGCTTTGGCTGCTGCCTATTTGATGATTTGTATGTAGCACAAGGAATGGGAAATCAAGCACTCTCAGCGGAGACCCTGCTGCCAGCTTGCTTTTGTGCTGTGTTAACAGAGCTGAATAGATGTAACTTTGTCAATGGACAACTATTTCTAAAGGCTGTACAGCAGCACACGCTCCAAGTGCCATTTGTTGACATTAAACCTCCCTGAGAACAAGATTACAGAACCAAAAAGGGCCAGGTCAATTGAAGTGCAATTGATCAGCCTACAGATAATAGCCTGAGCCAACACTTAGCACTCTTAAAAGAAAATGAAGTGTGCTCTGCTATACAATTTATATAACAAAGACCTACAACCTTTGTAGAAACAAATTGAAATGCAAATATTTTCTCACCATTTTGAAATGCTCAAATTGTTATCACAAGTTGGAAGCGTATTTAAGCTTTAAAATGTATTTCCACTTTTGCATGCAAATTGGGATAACACCTACTTTGTTACGTGTTAACACTCACATAGGACTTAAACTGTAAGCAATCTTTTAAAATTTTAGTTTGAAGTGCTTTTTTACTTGCTTAAGACATCCTTCCTGGCTTCCCCCCTATGTAAAGTTAAACAGGAGGTGGTGGGGAGTTATGTTTACTCTAATTAACCATTTCTGTACTGTGCTGACAGATCTTAGTTGTAAATTAGATTTGAACACCGTTGGTCCTAATAAAGGCTTAGAGGCTTGGAAGCATTGTATGTTAATAAAGAAGCTCAGTCTGCTCCTCAGTTTGTCCCTCTACTTTCACTTAAACTGCTCAAAGTACCCTGAAATCTGAACAAAGGCCTTCACCAAATATCTAAATGGTAGGCAATTTTTTTTTTTTTATTTTTAGGTATGATCCGTAAATGGGAACACAAAACATATAAGGGGGTTTCTCAAATTTGACAGCAAAAGGTGGAAATACACTTTAAGACTGCAGATATAAAAAAACACAACATTAAAATGTCTCACCTAAGTAACTGTCATCATAAGAGCCATGTGCTTGGCGGGTGTGCATTTGTCCTTTAATCTCCAAGATAAAGTATTCTGGGTAAAAAGATTTCCTGATTTCATCTTCAGTTGCTGTAATCACCTGACCTAAAACAAAATGCAAAAATGTTAGCTAATTTTCATCTATTCATAAAAGCGGAAACAAAATCATAAGTTTCAAAATGAGAGTAAACCGGTTGTGCACTGCCTGAACTAGAAGCATCACAATTTTCACCCATTGGTGGTGGGAATTAGGGCAGCAGGACAGAGTTGGGGATCAGAGCAGTGGTACGGAATTGGAGAGTGAACGTACAACAGGTTTCCAACTAAGGAGTGGACTTCTGGGCGCAGCAAAAACAAAAGTCATTAGTAAACTAACAAGTCAAGTCAGGTTCTGTTTTGATAATTCCAGCACCTTCAGATGTCAGCTACACTATTCTCCAGCCTTTGACTTACTGTGCATACTATGCGATATGAAGCATGGTGTACATTTACGGTTTGTGTTGAGAACAGTAGAAAAAAGCTGGTATGTCCGCAACATGCTGGTAAGTCCTCAGGTGGAAAGCAAGACTGTGCGATATAGGAGGTTACATCGCTTTTCTTCTTGACCTCTTCTGCCAAAAGGGTATCCAAACAATAATGCAGCTATTCTTGAGGCTTATACGACTGGTGCGAGTTCTATCTTTACCTAAATATTGATTCCACCCTAAAATTCCCTGCCTCCTCTAGAACATGAACTGGACTCCTCTGTAATGCTAGATAATCAAGAGAATGTCCACATCATGGTTAAATAAGATCAGTTTTTTTTTATGTACTTGCAATTCGAGAGATAGCCTTCTTCTGAAAATGCTAGTTGTCCAACAATGGTCTCCCTAGAACTCTAGCCATGTGGGATTAAAGAATAACCAGATGATCCATTTCAAAGAAAAAAAGGGAATGGTAAAATCACCAAAATAGAACTCCAATTCATAAAAGTGTGCAAAACTAAAGCTAAAAAAAATAAATAAAATAAAAAAAAAAGTTAGTTATCTTCTTTAGAGCCCCGTTTTATGCCCTACAGCCCTCCCTCCAATCCTGGGTACTTTTCCCAGTATAGCAAGTCAACACCCACCTCCACTTCCTGTGCTTTCCCCTGTACCATTATGGTTTAATCACCGACATGTAACATGCATGCAGCAAGTGAAAGTACAGATTTTGCATCTCTATTTTTTTGGGATTAGCAACTGAATGCATTGGTGTAAAGCAACACGCAAGCAACCAGCAATTCTGTGCACAGTCAGCGACGGCCTCCCATTTCAATCATGAAAGATGAACTTTAACTGCCTGTATTATCAAATATATAAAATAGATAAAATTCCTTTCCGGTTATTCACAAAACATAACAGTTGGTCATACACAAATATGTATTAATAAATGTGATAAACACCGATATTAGATACAGCAACGTATATTTAGGTAAAATAATTACAGGACAACTGTACCTTGCCAAAAATAACTGCCAGGTCCTCCCAGTAATACTCTTCCACTCTGAAAAATAAATTAAATAAAAACAGAATAGGAAAGTAAGCCAGTGGGATTTAAAATCTAATTTATGAAAAGGAGCCAGATTATCCAGAATGCAATAATTGTAACAGTACATTTCAATTAAACAAAGGCTCCACGTAGAACCTGTTGAAATGGAACCCAGAATGCCAGCAATGCAAACCACTATGCCAGTGTCTGACACTGTTTTATAACCGCATTGTTATAGTTATAAAGGCCAACATATTTATTTAGGCCAAAAGAACATTAAAAAAGTATGATGCTCTAGGTCGTAAAACCACCCAGTTCTTGTGCAAGACAAAAAAGGTTCTTTACAGGACAAAGCTGCCATTTGACACATGCCTTGCAGAAGTGATGGTGACATGGAATGGAAAGGTAACCTTGTAAGAGCGGAAAGGGGAATGTCCCTGACCAGTTCAAAAAGGTGGAGTTTTAGGAACCAAGAGAACCAAATTAAAACCCTGCAAAGTAACAGATGAATGAATAGTGGCATACACATGTGACACCATGTACAAAATGTTCAGGGCCATGCTGTTAAAGCGAGTGACCAAAAAGCAGGGTGGTAAACCGGTCCTTAAGACAGACTATCCAGATCTCGAAAGGCCCACAGAGCTTCTGATCAGGTCCGAGTACCATGTCTGCCTGTACCAATGCAGAGCTGTACGGATCACTGGAATGCCCTTCATCTCAATGCTGTAGGAGCATAGGAGGAGGATGGAGTTACAGGAAAGGAAAGGTGTAGATCAGGCTGTATTGATCCCACAAAACCACCAAAGCATCCACTGCGTCTGCAGGAGGATCTCTGAACCTGGAGAGGAACCTTTCTAGTTTGTTGTTGAATCTTGAGGCTTGAATCTTGAGGCCAAAAGGTTCACATTTGGCATCTCCCACCTGTCACACAGGTTCTCAAACACCTTTGTATGTAGGGGCAACACCCCTGGGTCCAAGTGCTGCTGGCTGAGACAGTCTGCCTGTCAATTCTCCATGTCAGCTTAGGACAGAATTCTTTCCACCTCTCTTGCTGTGACAAGGCTTCTGGTTGCTCTTTGGTGGTTGATGCACACCACTGTTATGACATTGTCCCACTGGATCCTGATCGGGTGACCCTCCAGTCAGGATCTCAAGCATTATAGGGACAGCCATATAGTCCAAAGCTCCAGAAGGTTAATTGGGAGATGGGATTCCTATGGTGTTCAAGTCCTCTGTACCAACAAGGTGTCAAGGACTTCTGCCCAGACCATCTGGCTAGCCCCAGGGCTTGTGGAGAAAGTGGGCTCTTGACTTGGGTTTTGCCATAGAGGTTAAAGCCTGGGGCTAACCAAGGAATTCTTGTTGGCCTCAGAGGGAGGGCGGGGGGATTGTTTAAACAGAGCCCAAGAATTATGGCAGGTATCAGTAAAATCCAAGAACATGTAGTTTACATCCTTCACATGTCCCCTACAACTGAAATATCAATTTCAGGTGGACTGACCTGCACAAATGCACATTTTTGCAAACAGACACACAGTGGTCTAATAATAAAAGCAGTAAATGTAACCAAACACTATTGGTGAATCATTTACCATTTTGCCATTTAAAAAACCCATGCGCCTAGAAGATTGACCTGCAGAGAATGTTAGCGGAATGTCAGATTCACTACTTTATTGATATGCCCCATGGGGTTATGAGATAGTATACAAGTCACTATACTAATATAATATCTGGGGTTTTTTAAAGGGTTACAAAATACAGTTCTGTTAGGAAGGACAACTTTAAGTGTCTAGGGGGAACATAAGTTAGCACCACCAAAATCACACCCAGACCATAACATAACCTCCACCGCCACAATACTTCTACCATCATACACCACACACAAAACATAACCTCCACCCTCATACATGGATTAAACTACCTTTGTAAATTCAGCAGAGAAGCCACCTTGGCAGAACCCCTGACCGGCATCGCCATATGTATCTGTATTCATAAAAACAAACATAATGAGTGAAGTTCCTAGGCAAATTCTGACATTCCTGACATCTAATAGAAAAATTATATACCTGAGCGACAAGGTGAGTATTCCACAATATTGGTGAAGTTGTTCGATGACAAGTAGCAGGTGCCTACCACATCACGGTGTATTTCCTCTTTTATTGTCCTCCAGCTGTATCTTGGGGCACAGGCCTTAGAAAAGGAGACACTATAATGTTAAGAAAGCAAACCGGAGGGATACATAAATACATTAGCAAGAGAGACAATTTAGGGGTTTATGCGACCTCCACTCTGGCAATTCGGGACAGAAACATTTGCATAGGTCTGCAAAAGGTTTACCACAGGAGATGATACAGATGTTCATCAAGGTGTTCATCAAGATTTTTCCACTAAAAACGGCGACCATTAAAAGAGTTTAGGGACAAGTTTTTTTCTTTCTACTTTAAAGCAACTGAGGGAATTAATGAAGCTGCTTACATTTTATCAAATCCGTCTCACTGATCCTGTTTTGAAATGCCTTTATTTGTGACAGAATTGAATAAAATATTGTTCAGAGTCTTCTTATACCACTTAAAGGAGAACTATGAGGTGAGTGATTTTCACTCGTCATAGTTGGAGCCGACGCGTGACAATGAAACTGTCACACGTCAGCTCAATAGATCGGGAAGTGAGCGACCGCATACCGTCGCTCGCTTCTCGATCATGTCCCTGCAAAGAGCCGTGACTGTCACTCACAGCTCCCTGCAGGGATTCCCCCCTCCCCGATCCTCCAGCGCTGACTAGCGCAACAGACGGGGAGGGGGGCGGGTACAGCTTGCCCTGCCTCTAGATAGGCAGAGCCAGCTGTCAATCACGCAGCTGGGTGGATCTCGACCAGTATTGTCGGGATCCGTCCCAGCTGCAGCGGCCTCAGTATACCGCGAGCTGTAGCTCGCGATATACTGAGCTTTGGGTCACGGGAGGGCACTAGTTTATGTCCTCCCGTGACCCTTAGGAGAACTATGGGGAAAACCACTTACCCCATAGTTCTCCTTTAAAAAGGAGAACTATGAGATGAGTTGATTTCCACTCACCTCATAGTTCTAGCCGACCTTTGACAATGAGACTGTCACAGGTCGGCTCAGTAGATCGGGAGGTGAGCGAACACATACCAGATTCGCTCACCTCTCGATCCTGTCACGGCTCTCTGCCGTGACAGGGGGAGGGCTGGATTCCCCTCTCCCCGCTCCGATCTGCCAGCGCTGACTGGCGGAACGGACGGGGGAGGGGGCGGGTACAGCTGGCTCTGCCTCTAGATAGGCAGAGCCAGCTGTCACTCACGCAGCTGGGCGGATTCCGTCATCTACGCCTGGATCCGCTGCGGCGTCTCAGTATACCGCGAGCTGTAGTTTGCGGTATACTGAGCTTATGGTAACGGGAGGCCGCTAGTTTGTGTCCTCCCGTTACCCTAAGGAGAACTATGGGGAAAACCAAACACTGACCCCATAGTTCTCCTTTAAGGTCTCCCACCTGTAAATCCTCTATGGACCAGGGACATTTTTAAATGTTTGCTATGGGCCAGTTTACTCAGTAATAACAGTCATTACTTGAGATGACTACATACATACTTTACAATTGTTTGACAGAAGCTGTAATATCTGCTGAAATTACACAGCAATTCCTGACTGACATTTTGACAGCTGGGAATTGCCACCAAATGCAGGGAGTGCAGCACGAAGACAGAACATGGCATACTCACCCAGAAAAATTCAATGAAGCACAAAGGGCATGCGCCCAGTGTCCACAACTAGTTAAAGCATATTGTGGGGATTTAGACTCATGACAGAGAAACTTCTAGTTTCTTAAAACGCCAGCTTCATTCCATACATATGTAAGATTAAAAGGCATCCAGACAAAGAAAATGCATCAAAGGTTGGGCTCAAGTGAGCCTTGCTTAGTCCTTGTGGAAGTCCCTTGATGCAGGCAATTTTCATAAAAACTGGAGCAGACAAATTGAATCAGTTGCCCATAGCAACTAATCAGCATCTCTTTAGTTTGTTCAGTTGTGCTTTGAAAATGTAACAAGGAAGCTGAATGGTTGTTATGGACAACTGTTCCAGATTTTGTCGGCTCCCGTTTATGAATTTCCCCCACTGTCGTTCCTTACACAGACACACACATTCTCTCTCAGCTAGGTCTAGCTGCACTAATAAGTACCTGTGCAGCAACCCCCAAAATGTGGTCCATGGAATTGGGAGCCCTTCCCTCCCAAAAACGCTCTGAGTCCCAGTGAAACCAGTTGTCTTTAAAAACACATCATGGTAAAGCAATATTTTCCTCTACCCCCGGGTCTTTGCTGGCTTTATCTTTTATTGGGTATCTAATTCATGGAGGGACATTCCTTCCATCCAATACTCTTCCTGCTAACCGGGCACAGACACTCTTCTACAAATATCTTAAACCCCCAATACCACCCCCACATACATTCAATAGATATCCCTTGGCTCGGTCTTGTAGACACAACAGAAAACAAGTGGCAATCTCTCCAAAGTTAGGTAAACCTCTTCATAGACATTTGTCACCAAAACAAGTGTCCCCACTGGAAGATTTTCCCTTTATTCCTGCTCTGTAGGGTTTTTAAATTTGACTGCAAAAAGTGGAAATGCATATAGAACCTTAAGTTTTGTACTATGGCACTTAAATAAATGACAAATTATAAGATTCCTTAACACAAAATTAAAATCGTATTTTGGTATATGCTTGTATTGGACCATTTCTCAGACTCTTGGAGAGCACCGAGTGCTCAACCACCAGCCAGTGTTGCTCGGAGGTGAGTTTATTCTTGCTTTTTAATATTTTGTTTTATATTATGGAGGATACAGGAGGGATGAGGGGATGAGTTCATGAGTTCAGCCAACTGGCATGCGCTCAAAACTGATCTAATCCCATTTTGCAAACTGACTTTTTACACCCTAAAGAACAAACCAGAACATGATCATTTTAACAGCAATACAAGTGTTTAAAGTGTACTCTGAAAACATACCAGTATGGAGTTGCCATGCGATCGAACGGTTGCTCCAAACCATTGCCCAGATTTATATTCCACCTGTTCTAAAGTGCTATTCAAATCTTTGAACTGGAAGTCATAAAAGCGGTTGCCTGTTAAAAATGTAAAAATGTGTTTAAAGACTGTAAACAAACAAAAAGGTAACAGTGATTTATATTAGCACCAAGACTTGATACAATGCTCTGCTTACTATACCATTAATAAGTTTAATTATTAATACCATGGATCTTTACTGCTTAGTAAAATATCAGGGAGATGAGGTAAATCTTTTTACCAGCAGATGTGGGCATGCATCAAATACAAGGTTTTTAAGATATATAGATTATCAAATGGGGCAGGGTCGGCATGAAGTGAGCCTGTAGAACTGTGCAAGACAGAATGCTATATATAGAATTTGGGGTTGAATAAGGAGCTGAAGTAATACCGCACCCAAGGAGGAAATGTATAATAATGTGGCAAAGATGAGGGCTTTTAAAAAGGTATGAAAACACCACTGGTATAGCACAAAAATAAGTTAAGATTACATTTTTATTTTATACAAAAGATATAAAATAAAATCTGATTGTGCATAATAAAACACTTAAAACGGTGATCCTTCCTTCATAATATGGCATACAATCAAAGCCTTCCTTATAAAGTTACCAACAATGTTGATAATTTAACCAAAAACCATAAAGAGTCAAAAAAGTGCAGTATTGTCATGGTATCAAGGCTCCTCTACGTGTTTTGCACCCAATATAGGGGCTTCTGCAGGAGGACTAGGTTGCTATGAGCTCCACAGAAGCCAGGTGGCCGCATCATGTGGAGCTCATAGCAACATCCGAGAGCAAGGGCCCCTATATGTACCTCAGCTCTTTTCTCTAATCGGCTACCTAAACTGGTGACAACATTGCAGGGGTTCTTTGCCTTTTGGTTTTTGTAGATGCACTTCTTCCTTCAGATGGTCACACCAACCTAGTCCTCCTGAAGAAGCCCCTATATTGGGCTCAAAACGTGTAGAGGAACATTGGCACCCCTTGATACCATGACAATGCCACACTTTTAGGACTCTTTGTGGTCTTTGGTTAAATTATCAATATGGTTAGTATCTTTATAAAGGGAGGTCTTGATTGTATGCCATATCATGAAGGAAGGATCACCGTTTTAAGTGTTTTATTATGCACAATCAAAATTTTATATATCTTTGTATAAAATAAAAAAGTAATCTTAAACTTACTTTTGTGCTATACCAGTGGTGTTTTTGATACTTTAAAAGCCCTCATCTTTGCCACATTATTGTGCAAGATTGAAGGTAAGGATGAAGCTTAGCTTTAACCAAGCTGTGGAGAAAAGATAATGCATAGGACCGGACTAAGGTGCCAGAAGAAAATATAATTTTGTCTTCAGATATGACAGTTTACACAAATATATATTCAACTGTGTATCTACAGGTTTGCTTACACCTATGCTATGAAGCCAGTATGAATTCCTAGACATAAATGTTACTTTCGTGACAGGCCTGTATGTGCAGTACACCAATTACATAATGCAGATCTCAAGTGTTTGTTGAGCATAAAACTACTGCCCATTATTCCCAGATGTCAACATTTTAACTTTGAACAGACGTATAACTGAAAACACACAAGCAGAGCCTTGATCATGAATCACCTCCCCAAAAAATTAAATGGTAAAAGATACAATTTCAGAGAATTATGACCAAAAAGTATAAACAATGTAAATTATAAATGAGCAATATAGGGCCCCAGGAGAGGAGTGCAATAGTTGTCACTAGGATTTCACCCATAATTCACTGTGCTCATAGCAAAGATCTGACAAACTGTCCTACAGGTGTACCTTCAAACACAGTAACTGAGAGATTACTCCCTTGATGTAGAGGAGACTAAATGCCTTAAGGCATCTAGTTTTTTTGCACATAAAAAAAACCCCAAAAAAACACAAGTGTTAAATAGTTTCTCTTCCCTTAAAGCTGAACTTTGGGAAGATTATATATACAAAAAAAAATACATGTATATGAAAGCTCTGCCTGTTAAAACATGAATTCTGTTCAGTCAATCTGGTGATCCCCAACCACATTGCATAGCTAGGTCCCTGACCTCCAGTACACCTAAGCAGTGGCGTTTCACTAAGGACCCATCTTGCTGATTAGACAATGAAGAAACAGCAGCACAACTCTTACTGACCCCTACCTATAATAGAATATAATAAAATATATATTAGTAAAGTTCCATCAAGCCAACTTTTTTGAGCTTTATGCAAACATCCTGAATGATGTATTTTAAATCCCCAACAAATGCAGAAATAGCTTATATTTAAACTTACTCATGTGCTAAAAACATAAGGGTTATGATATTGGTCCATGTCATCGGTGCAGGCATTGCCCTCATCATAGGCAATCCCAAACATTGCCCACCATCACCATGGAGTATGCCAGAGCACAGTCCAATGGGTACCATGTTATGCTAGTGCCAGGTCTGTAAGAGCAAGCGGCTCTGAAGCAAGCGGGCACAGGTTGGAAGATCTTGACACAAATTACCAGCCCCAACCCCCACCCTTGGCTTCTTTATGTCAATGATGATAGGGAGCAAGGCCAGGAAGATTGTGGGGAAATCTGCTGTTGGCGTTTGGAGAGCTAGAAGTCAATTTCACATGCAGACATCTACACAAAAACATTCGTTTGGGTCAGGGGCTGACTGGCAACTTTTAGCCCAGGGGGCAAGTACACCCCAGAGGCCCATGGTGCGGCAACTTGACCCCCCTCCCGCTTTGCCTCTTCCCCCGCCTTCTCCCCGCCCATCTGCCACTTTTGCCATCCATGTAACAGTAGTGTGAATGTATTTATCGGTTTAGGAAATGTAAAGCACACTGGTATTGTAGGGATGCCTCGTCAGGGCTGTGCGTGTGCATGACTGCAGCGACCCTGGTAGTTCTGCCACTATCTCAGAAATACATTGTACAGCATTGCAGAATGGCATTGGCTATAGAGAACTACAATTCCCAGCAATACATTACACATCAATGCAGAATACCATCAGCTATAGCAGACTATAAATCCCAGCAATACCATTATACAGCAATGCAGAACAGCATCAGCTATAGAGGACTACAAATCCCAGCAATACATTACACAGCGCAATGTGGAATTCCACCAGCTATAATGTACTATTGCTGGGATTTTAAGTCCTCTATAGCTGGTGGTATTTTGCTGTATTGGGGACTACAAACCCCAGCAATAATACATTAAACAGCACAATGCAAAATACCAGCAGCTATAGAGGACTACATGAGCAGTCTTCCAGCAACTTGCTTCTGGGATCAGGACTGTCTTTCGGCAGCTGTCATCCCCTCACGCCTGCACCTCCTTACTTCTTCCCGCGTCCCTGTGCCGATCGTGGATGTGGGCGGCGCGCGTTAGGCAGCGAGGAGGTTCTAATCGAAAGCTGATTAATCGATGATTGAAAATGTTGACAACTTTTTCAATCATCGATTATAATCGACTTAGTCGATTAGTTGTTGCAGCCCTACATTCATCCCCGATTTCCGGGCACAATGACCGGATTCAGGAGACCGTCCCCTGACAAATTATGTCCCCGGGAACATAAAATAAAGCAATTTTTTTTTTAATGCTCACCTGATCCCTGGATCCACCGACAAGCGCGGCCTCCCATCTCCCACGCTGTTAAAAGCTGCGTACGGCCCGTGCTGGTTACTACTTAAACTGGCGCGCGCTGTGTGCAGCTTCTGAGAAGATACGCTATTAGCATAGTGAGGAAGCCGGCTGAGCATTTTGCATCGCTCCCGCTACGCTAATAGCGTATCTTCTCAGAAGCTGCACACAGCGCGCGCCAGTTTAAGTAGTAACCAGCACGCGCCGTATGCAGCTTGTAACAGCGTGGGAGACGGGAGGCCGCACTTTTGGTGGATACAGGGATCAGGTGAATATATATATATATAAAAAAGTTTGTTTTATGCTCCCGGGGATAAAATGTCCCGGGATTTTGTTTTTAAAAATGTTGTCACCTTACCTTGGCCTGGTGGTCAGTGGGGGGCTCCATGGACTCTGGTTGTGGGTGGGGGGGGGTGTCTGCTGTGGCCCCAGCTGCAGTGGCAATCTCCCTCTGCCGCCTGTTTGTCACCTGCACCCGGCCGGACCGCATCCTATGCGGCTGCTGCTCGGTCCTCAAGGGGGTCCTCAGAAGGACCCAACGGGCTGCCCTCTACAGCGCCTGATTACAGGGCCGCGTCTGCCTGATCCAGCCAGCCGGATCGCATACCGAGGCAATCCGCACTGGCTGTACCAGGTAGACGCGGCATGTTAGAGGGCCCCCTGCTGGAGCCTCCCGAGCACCTCCTTGAGGAGCAGCGGCCGCACCATTCACAGAGCCGCGTCGGATGCGGAGGGCGGGCGGCTGGCCGGGGGCAGGTGGCAGCGGCCGTTCGCGATGGCATCAGAGAGGCCCGGGGGGCAATTGCCACCCTGCCCCCCGGCCCAGTCCGCCCCTGGTTTAGGTAAACATTTTAAACATAAATGTAGAACTGAAAGCACTTGCATTCTGATTTTAGACTGCTGGTACCTGTTCTATGTGCTGGCAGAACATGCTGATCGAACAAATCCCATATTAGCTGGATGTTCACAGTTTATTATGAGGTCTGCTGGAAGTCATGTTAAAGTATAATGTTGATTTTTGCTCAATGCTACAATTTTTTTAGGACATTATCCAGCAGTACATACCTATCGGACGAGCTCCTCCTAATGACAATCCTAAACATAGTTTACAAAAAGATTAAAGATCAATGTGTACTTACCTTTTGTATCAAATGGTATTAGAGTGCAATCACTGTCATTTCTCTGCCAGGGACAATAATACACTGCTCCTCCTTCCACCACATCTGGCTGACTCGAGTTTGCTTTGGGAGCCCCAACCAGAACACTAACGCTGTAAAAAGGAAACGGTTGTTAGTGGTCTATAGGAAAGATAACGCAATATTCTAGTAAAACAAAGTATATATTTAAACACCCAAAAATGTATCTTATAGGTTACATATCATTTAAAGTTAAACATCCGCCAGATAAAGAACAAAAACCTAATGCAGCTACATATTCTTAAAACAAATACAATTTAACATACAACTGATACTGTGTACATCAGCCTACTATAACCCTAGCTATAGCAGTACCTGGAAGGCAAGCCCTAGAAGCCAGGTACAGCAGCAGCAAAGTGAAAATGCTGACAGAAGGAGAGCCGAATTAATCTGCGCTGTCACTCTCTTTTACTGTCCAATCATTAAAATGTGGGTGCCTGTAGTGGAGGTCCCAAGTCCTCATATAGATCCTAAGCCTTGCTGTGAGAAAACAGTGCCTGTGTGTGGACTTTTTAGCAAAGGGGGTGAGGGGCTATGGAGATGCTGGCAAAAGAAGTGAAACACAGGGGTGCACATCACAGTGTGCCAAGGACTGTAGGGCACATCAAATAAACAATATGCGCTGGGGGCTCGTCAGGGTTACAATGCAGAATTCTGAAAGACGACACGTGTGCTTTTCTGCAACATGGCAGAATATCGTAGCAGTGAAAAGAACAAAAAAAAAAAAACACTCTACACTTTACAGCACAAGCACTTCCTGTACACGGCTGATCGTTAGGCATTCCTAGTTAATATTTCTATAGCCTCTCTCATTGGGTTTGCAGTGTCTTCTACTTGCAAATGGCAATTAATTTTTACCTATGAAGCAATAAAACAGGTTTTTATGTTGAAAGGGCAAGGGCTTGAAACACAGATAGGATGCAACACGGCAGCATCACACTTCACTCCAATACATGGAGATACAGCCCTAAGCACATAACAATTCGTGCTCAATCACTGCCAAATTCTGCACATTTCCAATCAGTGCAGCCCCCTGTGTGTTTGGTGGAAAAACTGCTATTGTGACATTGAACTGTAGATCCTGCAAGAGGTATAAACACATCTACATCTACAATACTGACCCTAAAAGGAGAACTATGAGGGAGAGGATTTCCACTCACCTCATAGTTCTAGCCGACCTGTGACAATGAGACTGACACCGGTCGGCTAAGTAGATCGGGAGGTGAGCGAACAGATACCGGCGCTCGCTCACCTCTCGATCCTGTCACGGCACTCTGCATCCCCCGCTCCGATCCACCAGCGCTGACTGGTGAACAGACGGGGGAGGGGGCGGGTACAGCTGGCTCTGCCTCTAGGATAAGCAGAGCCAGCTGTCAGTCTCGCAGCTGGGCGGATCTCGACATCGATGTCGGGATCCGCTCCGGTGTCTCAGTATACCGCGAGCTACAGCTGAGCTTAGGGTAACGGGAGGACGCTAGTTTGTGTCCTCCCGTTACCCCAAGGAGAACTATGGGGAAAAGCCCTGACCCCATAGTTCTCCTTTAAAGTGACCCTAAACTCAGGTGTTAAACCTTAAAAAAAAAAAAAAAAAAAAAAAAAAAAGGAATTCAAGTACCTTAACTATGAACAAAAAAACTGGACCTTATTTGTGTATGACTCAGCTATAAATCCTCAAATCACCTCTGAATCGGTGCCGACACTGTCCTTCCTTCTGGGGGTGGCTACTATTGTTCCCCTTGGTCCCTGTGTGTTTTAAAGTAGCCACCGCTCCGAATTCACCCCGATGATAGTAAACTAAACATAAGATTGTAGTCCAAGTTGTATTGAGATTGTAGTCCATCATGGGAGTGAGCTTGGATCGGTGGCTACTGTATAACACACACAGGGATCATGGGAGAAGTAGCCACCCTCCAGAAGGAAGGACAGTGTCAGTACCAATTCAGAAATGATTTGAGGATCTACAGCCGAGTGATACACAAATAAGGTTCAGTTTTGTTAGAGAACTATGACGTGAGTGATTTTCACTCAGCCTCATAGTTTGAGCCGATGTGTGACAATGAAACTGTCACACGTCGGCTCAATAGATCGGGAAGTGAGCGAACACATACCGTCGCTCACTTCTCGATCATGTCCCTGCAGAGAGCCGTGACTGTCACTCACGGCTCCCTACAGGGGATTTCCCCCCCTCCCCGATCCTCCAGCGCTGACTGGCAGAACGGATGGGGGAGGATAGGCAGAGCCAGCTGTCAATCACGCAGCTGGGTGGAACTCTACAGTAATGTTGGGATCCGTCCCGGCTGCGGCGCTCTGTATACCGCAAGCTGTAGCTTGCGGTATACTGAGCTTAGGGTGACGGGAGGACGCTAGTCCTCCTGTGACCCTTAGGAGAACTATGGGGAAAAACGCTTACCCCATAGTTCTCCTTTAAAAAAAGGTACTTGAATGCATTTTTAAGATTTAACTCCTGAGTTTAAAGTTAATGTTATCTATACACCTGTGCAGAATGTTATAGCTGAAAACCCAAATATATGTATATACAGCAATCTTCAGGTATATAATGTATCAGAGCCGTGTGTGAACCATGCAATGAGCTATATATATACCACTTCTGCAATACTATGTGATAAGAATGCACACTGGGTAGGGGGAACTTGAATGTTAATGGAAACCTCTTCTCATCTGATTACCCTTTTGTCATGCTTGGGTTAGCACCTAAGAAAGAGTCTTTGATGCATGGACAGGTGTTCTGGCTGGAAGCCGCCCCCTCCCCTCTCCTGTAACCAGCGTTAACCTGTCCATCATACCAGCCATTATTAATGCTGAGAGAATTGGGGCAGCCACAGGTGCACGTCATTGCACATCAATGTGAAACAGCTGCAAAGTGATGACTGGTTAACAAGGAATAATAATATCCATGTTACACCTCCTCATTCATAGCATCACATGTACTGAAGACCCGATATGTTCTAGACCTGGGGTAGGTAACCTTGGCACTATAGTGGGACTACAAGTCCTATGAGGCATTGCAAGACTTACAGCCGCAGGCATAACTCCCGAAGGCATGACGGGATTTGTAGTTCTCCACAGCTGGAGTGCCAAGGTTGTCTGGCCCTGTTATAGTATTTTAGCAACTAAACACTTAGTGCATTCCTTGTTTGAGACCAAGGGCCCATTCACACAGTGACAGGGGGCCATACATGCATCTGTTTCAGGAGTACAACTGCCAGCAGGCTGTAACAGTCTGACAGACGCAGTGGCTGTACGGAATTTCCCACCACATCCAAATTTTAGATCCATACAAAAGACGATGCACAGCCATTGATGCACACAGACGGTGTCCATGTAGATCTGTGCAGATTTTTTTTACAGCACGGAACACCTGCGACTCCTGGAACATTGACACATGCATGTATGGCCCTCTGTGGCTGTGTGAATGAGAACTAAAACTGCAACGGCTACCTCAAAATGAGACCTAAATCAATGCAGGAGAGCTATGCATTACTTATAGGATAACAGAGCTATATACAGTGTATTATACTAAATAGTCATGCGTTACTGCATGGAGAGCTTTTTAAGGCATGATAAAAGAACAGTGGGTGACGCATGATGCAAGCACAGGGAGTCAGATCTATCCCTGCCCATCGCACCCCCTCAAAGTTCTACTTGTATCGGCCAAGCATACACGTATATGCATATGCAGACACTCGTGGTGGTGGCGGCCTTATCTCAAGAGAGCAAATCTGATCAAAACGGGAAACCCCAAATTCAATGACATGCATACCACATCATAGGGTGGCGCAGCACACAAAACAGTGCCCAATCAGCATTCTTTGAGAACAAAGCAATTGGACAGGTTACACCATTTGCCCAATTGGTACCACCCATTTAAATCCTTGGGAATAAAAAAACAGGATTTGCCCATCAATATGCTTTAAAAATAAACCAGAGATGGGACTCCTATTACAGGGCCAGATATCCTGAGAACCTAAATTCTGAAAAATGTGGCACCTTAAAAACAGATACCCCCATCAGTAAATTATTTTACAATGCAGTTTAACAGATAACATTGAATTTACTCAAAAATGTGGATAATTTAGCATAACAGGACTCAGAATATGAACAAATGAGAACTAGAGAATGTAGACATTTTCGGACCCCGATGTTCTGTATGAATAATCCTCCAATTCTGCCCCAGGCACTAGACTTGTCACCATACACACAGCCTTGTGTTCGTTTCATGAAAGCACAATGATTAGGTGCCGTCTGATCAGTGACTTTTGCCATCTGCAAGCTCATAATGCGCACAAAGAAACTTCCACGCAATTCTGGAAGACTCAACAAGTTCACTGGATGAAATGGCTTTTGTTGTAATCAGCATGACAAAACTGCAAGTAATAGCTGACCAAGCTACGGACATGGACACAGGAGGATTTGCTTCTTGCATTACGTGTGCTACTCACTGCATTGGGAATACAAAATTCACAGTGCTTAATTCAGATGCCAAGCTTTTTTTCCCGCACGATTGTCGTGCGTTCGATTGTGCGACTGATCATTGAAAACCACATGGTTATCGTGCGGTTTTCAATGCATGGAGACGTCTACAGGACTCCCAAACCGCATGACAACCGCCCCAAAATCGTTCTTGCACCTTTTCGCGCGATAAGCGCTTTCATCCGTGGGACAAACCGCAAAAGGTGTAAAACAGACTCCATTGATTTTAATGAGAATCTGTGTTTTGTACATTATCACGCAACCCAATCCGCGTGTGAACCTAGCCTAAAAAGGCGATTGATCTGAACATTTAATAAACTGCACTGGATGCTGCAAGCAGAGCAACAATTTTAAACGTGTCATTTATCTTTAGATTGCCAGCAAAATGTACTTTCACCTTTCATTTATTGGAACATCTCAGATCCCACCTCAACTATGAAAGCTTTATGTGCACAGTGCAATCAGAAACTACAAAAGACCAAAGATGATCAAAGTTCAGCAACCACACAAGTGAAAGGCTGGCCATACAGTTGACAGCGCAGATGGGGGAATCTCCCTTGTGGGGCTATTGTATTCCGACAGA